TCGTGGAGCACAGTCAGACCCACCTCCCACTCACGCAAGCCTGCCTTTAGGCAGGTTGAACTAACACGAAAATCTACTTAACATGCCAGATGCCACCAGTGCTCCCCTGGACCGAGCCAGCCAGTGCCGTCACTGGTGGGGATGCTCCTGTAATGCCACTTGCTGAGGGTTCATCCTCCCCAGTCAGGAAAATGCAGCCACCCATAGCTTTTAGGCCAGGATATATAACCTGCTTTCCTGGTTTGAAAGAAGATTTCCATCTGCACAGCTCTCCTGGTGGCTAAGGAGGTTGCAAATCCCTCTAAGTCAGGCTGTGGAGGTATCCCTGAGCATCTGCATTCGCTCACTCTGACAGGATGGACAGGCAAGCAAATGAAAAGGAAGAATTTTTGCTCCTCACACAGGGAATTTAACTCCAAATATGATTCAGCTGTGAGAGGAATGGCTCCCTGCCGGGATGTGATCCTTCAGTCTCTAAGTACCGACTGTGCCATTTCACACGAAACAAAAATTCCCAGGAACATATAATTTCCCTTTCTATATGCAAAATCCTGTGTCTCTGCTGATGAGAATCTTTCAGAAGCAGCCCTGCCATTGTTTGCAGGATAAAAATCCATTAACTGCACATTATATTCACTCGCAATTTCCTCTTTTTGGGGTCACTTGGGTTTCAGGAGAACTCCTTTACCTGCCCCGAGGCAGCATATGCTTTTCCAGCCGCGCTGCAGAGCATCGCTGCCGAGCGCTGCGCGGATGCTACTAGCCAAGACTGCCCTCTACCTCCCCGGGCTCTGCAGCACATCGCTGCTGCACCCCATGCCCGCACTGCTGCCGAGCACAGATTTCGGGGGACACGGGGTGCCCCACAGCCAGGGTTATGCAGGAGGCTTCCCCGGGCTCACGGCGGGCTGGTGAACGTGCCCTCCTGGAAACGCGCTCAGCAGGGACCGGCTCGTGCTCCTCTGCCTCTCGCTGGGGTTGTGCCTTTGGCAGCTCGGCGGACCAAACCCTGCGGCTGCTTCACGGCAGGCCCCTTCCCTTAACTGGGACGCCCCAAATTTGAGGATGCCCTGACTAACCGAGGCTAAACCCTTGAGGTTTGGGTGAAGATGAGGAGGCTGAATGGGAACAGGCCATGAGCTAGCTGCTCACCACATCTTGTTATGCATTCACCTCTTACATCACCATTCCAATTAATGAGCCTTTACAAAAATCTCTTACTACAAAGAGAAGAAAATTGGGCCTTTAACGTAAGCCCACTCTTTTCACAAAGCTGTTAAGTCTAACAAGGAATGAAATTATTTTTGTTATCGGAGTAATGCATAATACATTTACAATAGCCCGCAAAAAAGAAAACTTTACAGAATTGGCTGTGACGTGTATGAAAAGAGATGCCATTAGACTCTAATTTAGAAGGATGGGCAGCTAATTAAAAACCCAGTGTGGTGGTTCCATCTGCAGACTCAAGCCATTCTAGAGGCTGTATTGTCTTGCATCACAAATGTTAAGTCATCCTTACATTGCTCACAAAGATAATGCTTATATTTTGATTCTGTTTAACCAAGAGTTTCCTGGGATGGGGGAAATCTGATCTGCCTTTTTAATTTCTTGGGTTGGGGTTAGATTTTTCTAATGAATGGAATGAACCACTTGGATCCCAATGACCTTCTGGGAATGCGCCTGCACTAGTGGTGGGGTGCGAGACAGGCAGAGCTGGTGCTGAGGACCCAGCGGCCACACACGTGTTGGGGCTTGCTCTGAAGCAGCTGGAGCACACCTCCTGGTAAGGTCATGTGGAAGGGACCTCATCCATGCTCCTCAGGACCACTGCAAGGTCAGCCAGTGTGCAAGACGTAGGTATAACCAGGATATTCACATCAAAAGATGCTGCTGATCTGAATTAAAATGCTGATACAGACACAACCACAGCCTGATGCAAACGGTACCCATATTTCTATGTTCTGTGCATCTCCTTCGCCCTCCTGAGTCAAGCGGTGATAACCCAGAGCGGTCTGTAACACTGTCATTTGTCACCGCAGCCAGCCAGAGACTGCTGCTAGCCCCATGCTGTAGCATCCCTGAAGGCAACTGCCAGGAGCACACTTCAACTGGGATGCAGGGAGCTGCTCCTTCCAAAACACTCTCTTGCTAAATAGCATTACACACTAAAGACACATTGGAAGCCAACAAAATGGGAAATTATGATGCTTGGTGACATTTTCTGGTGAAGGGGGCTTTAGCTGAAGTTAAACTTACAGTTCCAGCTTGACAATACAACTGGTATTTCTGCAGCGTGACAAACCAGACCCATAGATGCCCTTCACTGAAGTCAGTGGAAGTTAGAGGCTGACAGCCCCTGTGGCTTTGAGCTCTAGTTTCCTAGACCTAGGTCTTGGAAAGCGTCAGATTTGATGCTCAATTTCTGACATATTAAAACACCCCAAATTTCAGAAACCTTAGTTCAGTGCTTTCATGAGCTGAGTCTACCACCATCCCAAGCTGTGAAATTGTAGCCTCAAAAGTTGACTTGCTGAATAACCTTTCCTACACACTCGTAGATAATCATCTATTATACAGGCACATACTTCTATTAATAATGAGTGTTATCCAGGGACAAGGCATAAAACCAAGCAATAGGGTATGAGGAAATAGTGCTTACCCCATCACATCTAATTTCTGTGGAAAACAACGTTAGTACTCACAGCACAGTGCCGGTGCTTTTCCTCTTGATCCTGAAGCGCGAGGAGTCATCCACAAACTCCACGTCGTAGCTGGCCTCATCAGCGGTAACCCCCGGGGAGTCGATCTTCAGTGGGACTTCAAACCGCTGTCTGTTGGGGTCATAGAGCTGAAGCAAGGCAAGGAGGAGGCAGGTTAGCTTGTTCATTAGCATCACTGCTTTGGTTAAATGATGCCACCACCACCCCCAAATACTCACCCTGAACCGGAGCCTGTCCTTTGTCTGGAACTCTACTTCCAAGACGACCGGAGAAATGTCATTTCCGAAGAGGGACAAGGCCTGGCGCTTGTTCAGCGTTACCCTGTGGCAGAAACACGCGCTGCTGCCCACCACCACCACTTGCTGCCTGCGAGCACCCTGGCATGGCCGGGGGGGACAGCTCAGCTACTCTACCTCAGCTGTTTAAAAAATCATTGCTTTATTAGCTTAGGCTCTCCTTGCCGTTAATGGATAAAATAGGTGCTCCTGAAGCAAGGAGACATCGTGATCTCCTGGGACACAGCTCTCAGGCTGGGAGGGACCACCAGTTTCCTCAACGATGGTGTGATGCGAGCACAGTAACCCAACTCTGTGTGGCTTATACGCAGGGAAATACGTCCATCACCCTCCTCACCGCAAGCTGAGCACGCAGTAGTGAAGCAGCTTGGGGAAGGTGTCTGCCAAGCTGCCCCCGGGACGGCAGCGGTGGTCGGCGTGCAGTGCCGGGCTGCAGCACGGAAGGCGCGGCGCAGGCTTACCTCCAGCCGTTGTCTGTC